AGTGGTACCCACTTCCTAGGGATGTTGTGAGGGTTAACTGAGTTAACGTATGTAAGTGCCTCACAGGTTAGCAAATATGATTGGCTAGTGGGTCAGCTACATTTATCTCTTACAGTCCTGGACATTCAAAGAGCACTGCTTTTCTCGGATGCAAAGCTTATCTTTGTTGGCTTCTATCTAAAGAGGAATGATGACTGTGCAGAGGGGAGATGGGAATGTGACTAAATCCTGACCTTCAATGCCTTAACTTTTGATTTTCATTTCAATTCATTTATGAGTTAATGAGAGTAGGCACTCAATATCACCATTTTTCTTTATTCTAAGCTGGCATGAATGATAAATATGTTAAGGGTATTAAAATGTTTGGAGGCCCCGTGAAAGTATTATGATCAATGACATAAGATTATTTTTCTGATAATTGCTACTTCCCTTTCGACTTTACTAAGACTTGACTAGAGACTGAGTTTTGACATTTAACCCAGAAAATGAATATTCAAGCGTAAGTTCTCAAACTAGAATTTGTCCATTTCACCATGCTTAGCAACAGTTTCAGAGAGAGAGATAATTGGGATTTTTAATGAATTTTGAATCTTCCCTGAAAGATGGAATAAAAGCTACGAAAGGTACGGTGTGAAGCAGTATGAGTTAATTTTAGACAGCTTGTTCAGAATACATCCTGGTGGTAATAACTTCCTTCTCTACTGCGATTACCCACCAAATTAACTTCATTAACTTTTCTCCTGATCTCCTTTGAGGAAATACTCCAAGGTCAGCTGTCATCTGATCAGAATTTCCATAAGCTAACTGGCTGGTATTCTCCAGTTTGAGTACAGTAGATGAGACAAGTAAATCAATTCAATGCAAGAAGGAGGGCAATGGCCATTTTTCTTTCCAAGATCCCAGCTAGATTTTTTAAGAGATAGGAGTTCAGAATTACATTACGGTGATTCCTCTTTTCAATCTAATTTCTAAAGCACTGTGATTTGATTGTTATCTAGAAACGAAGCCCACCAGCTGTGTTCTTTCTATGGCAGCCAGGGCTGAATTTGGTAGAAACGATACATTGTATTTTAAAGGACGTGGCCTCTCCCGGTTCCTGTTGCTCCAAGCATGTGCAGCCATTAGGAATCTTGTGCAAAATTTAAACAGCGGAGCACTAAGAAAAGAGTCTCTGGGGAAGTGGAAAAGATGTGAACGAGATAAATCCTAGTTTGGAAGGGAGAAAAATGACAAATGAAAGAAAAATGCAAATGGCAGAGGGGCAAATAGTTTCAGCTAATGTCAGTATTTCCGGATAATATTTTAGAACCAAGATTATAGATGGGAAGCTAAAGCTGGAAGATGAGTAATAAAAATATCTCAAATCCTACTGGAATATCATGTTCTACATTATCTTTTTTCTATTCTGGGGAAGACAAAATTACACTAATTGCCAACAAAGAAAACACGGTACCGTGACACATAAGTAGAAAACGAACAATCCCATGTGCTCCAAACTACCTTGTTTCTCCCTTACTCCTCCCTACATACTTTTCTAAGGGAGAACCCTTTTTTGGGTGATGGGAGACTGTGCCTACAATCCTTAGCAATGATTTCCTGACTGCTGAGCATCCTTAGTCATGCATCCTTCTCATGCCCATAAATGGAGGGCAAGCCCACACTGATGCTCTCAGACGAATTTAAACATCACATGTTCTGAGAGAACCCTCAGAGCTGGACAGACAACGCTCCTGCAGCGAACCCTCTTCAACACAAGGATGTTGTATTTCCTCTTCCACTGGGGTGCACACTGCTAACAGGTGTGTAGACCCACTTGCAAAGGCTGTGTACACCGAGGGTGTGGAGCAGCTCTCCCACTGGGATAAGCTCGGGTGTTGTTCTGTGACATGAAGTTGAGGTCCGTATACTCGGTGTTAAGAGGAGAGTCTATTTCTTTTGATGAATAGTTTCCTCTTCATCTTAGATGAGGGCAGCCATTCATTCACTCGTTCATTTAGTCATTCCTTCCGCTTAAAAAACAGGAGGGCCAGGCAGTGGGGCTTCAGGCTGGGCAACTCCTATGAGAGAAAAGTTCAGATGATTTTCACCAGGCCAACACAATCGCAGCTAATTATTAAACAGGGTTTATGAGAAGAGAATCAGCTTCAGTTTTTACTGCCTCAATCTACTTTCACTTATACCACAGGAAGGTAGTATGAGGTGGTGGAAAGAGCAACGGACCCATAACTGGAAATTCTGGGCTCAAGTTCCAGTTCCGCCACAATACGGACTGTGTGACTGTGGGCAATTTACTTAACCTCTCTGGGCCTCACTTTCTGTTCTTGAACAACGAGTGGCTTGGACTTAAGATTTCTTCCATCTCTAAAATTCTTGTATTCTATATGGTAACACATTTCACAAAGTTCCCTTTGTGACTAGAATTAGTCTACTATTTCCTCACTCATATCCCTCTTGACCTGTCGGTTGTTAAAACCAAATATGAACAAGAAGCAATAACATTTTCTCATAGCCAAGAAATTGCCCTTCCACAGGAGGAACTTTGGAGGTCAGGCCACCCATTGCAATATCTAAATTCAAAGGCAACGGTATGATCAACTTGTGAGCTGGCGGGCTGCAACCCAAAAGGATGGAAATGGTTGCAGGCAGCCAAAATTCTCGGCTGGTACATTTTTAATAAACATAGAAAATAAGAACAGCATTTCCCACGTGGATTGTGCTTAATTTGGTACCCGTACCACTGGAACATTTGCTGTTAGGGTAAAGATGATGTGATATATCACTTATTTAGCGCAGGATGGATTAACTTTCACAAATGAGAAGTAGGTTATGGAGTCATCTGTAAGGAATTTTTCTCTTTGCCGCTTGTCTCTGGCAGGAGGTAGCTGGAGTCCTGCAGCAAAATCTCCACCCCTTTTGGCCCTTTCTGAGACTTTTCCCTGAAACGTAAGCTTTGCTGGGTTTACTGTATTGCTATGAATGGACTAGGGCAAATCGGTGAGAATTCTTTGTGGTCGACTATGTCTTATTAATACTTTTCCAGGATGGTTCCATATGTCTTATTACTTTTCCAAGAAAAAAGCCTCCACAGCAAATGTTCCTTGGTTGATTTGCACTTGAGCTTAGCCAAAAGACGGAGGAGCGATGTTTTTTTTTTGTTAATTTGGAGAATAATATCTGAAGTGCGTGTGTTTTAGTTACATAAATTATAGCGAATATTTCTGAGAAGACCACCTCCTAGGCATTATGATTTTTAATTGGGCCTATTGCACTAACTCATCCAGTTCCTGAGCTCTGTATTTCCCTGTCTCTACCTGCAATATGGCAGCAAGGGTATTTGCCTAGCAAGGATGTTTTCTCGCCAGTGCTTGGAGATCCTTGAATCAAATACTTACTGTGATGGTAAACTGCAATTAGGTATGTGGGTGGAAATTAGTGTCCCTGAAGTACATCATGTTTTAAGTGGAGGCACTGTGTTTTTTAGTACCTGAGGCCACTCTAGTCCTAAAGCTCCAGGTCACTGCTTCTATAGCGCTGTTGGTGTGAGGCTGCAGGTTCCAAAGAGAAAATAACTCAGCACTGAGTCTGAAACCAGGAAGCTTTTTATAGTTAAAACTGGGCCACACAGTTCTATTATAGATAAGTCAGGCAGTGACCAAGTACGACTGTAACTTGCTCATTTTCCTTTTGGAAGTGTAAATGATCTCAACTGTCAAAACTATAATATGAACTTAAAAAAAATAAAGCACCAAAACTTTTGAATAGATTTCCTAGGTCCTCTATTTTGGATTAGATCCTCTAGTAATACGAACCCAGGAGCAGCAGACCTTTTCCATCCTAGTCAGCTTTTTATAGAAAACACAGCCCCTTCCTTTGTCAGGATTAGCAGAGAGGCCTGCAATTTGTCCAGTTCAAAATTTTGGTCACTGGATTTGCTTTTGGATACTGAAAAACTCCCATAACTGTACATTCTGGCTTCCTAGACACCTCCCCCCCCTTCATTTGACTTTAAATGAGTTTGCTTTGCAAGCACTTTACATCTTTTTATGCCTCGTAAAGGAGGTGATTTCAAGACAGAATGTGAATGACAGAAAATTTAAAACTGTCGTTAGTTCACATCCCTCCCCGCCGCCCCCCCCTGGAATTCCCTTTTCGCCAATGACGATAGAAAGGGGTTTCGCGGCTGCGTCTCTTTCACTCCTGCGGTGCCGCGCGTCTCCCAGCGACTGCGTTTCCCAGCGAGTTGGCCCCGTTCGTTTGGGGATGAAGTCATCCCTATACATAGTGTGCATATCAGCTCGTTAAATCGGTACAGCAGGCAGGGATTCCTTGGGAAGACGTGAACAATGATGACCATATTTTACATTTACAACCCCGCCCCCCCACCTCCCTCCCATCTGGAATAATGGCCGGGAACCGCATCGAACCTTGGCGGGCAGGGGGTGGGGAATGCCCACCTACTCGCCGGTCCCGGCCCTGAGATAGCAACAGGGAGAGGTGTGAACCAGCTCTGCGCGAGGGGCCCGGCGCGACAAAGGCGGAGTGCCCCCCGCCCGGCCCCGAGCACAGTCACGCATCTCGGTCGCCGCCTCCCGGCTTTCCGCGCGGGTGCCCAGAGGTCCTGCGCCCGGGAGGTCCCAGCGACTGGGTCTCTGCGCCCCGGCTGCAGGGGAGGCCCGGGAGCTCCCCCAGCCTCCGGGGAGCGCGAGGTGGCGGGGAGGGGGCCGACAGACAAGGACAACCCCGGAGGGATTGGGGGGGGGAGACAGCCCCAATCCCAAGGGGCCGAGGGGGGAGGGCGGGGTGGGGAAGCAACAAAGAACTTGACCACCCCGACGTCGCCGAGCCCGCTCCGGCCCCGCCCGCTCTCCGCAGTCCGGCGGGGGCCCCTGCCCACCGCGAGTGGGGAGCGCCCGGCCCCCCGCCGCCCCTCCCCCCGCGCCGCCCCCTCGCCCCCGGGGAGGGAGGGGAGGAGGGCGGCGCCTGCGTGCTCCTCCGCCGCGCGCCCCGCCTCCTCCCGGGCTCCCGGCGGCGGCGATCCCGACTCTCCTGCGGCTGCCGCAGCTGCCGGTTGCACACGGCCTGGGCGGCGGGCGCGGGCCTGGGGAGCGGCGGCCCGGCGCGCGGCCCCGGCGGGCACCCCTTGGAGGGCGGCGGAGGAAGCTCCGGGAGGCGGCGGCCGCGGCAGCGAGACCATTCGGCCTCTTCGGCCCCTCGCAGCCTTTCTTTCGCCCTCTCCGCTCGCACTCGGGACCGCCGCCTCGGCTTTGTGCGCGGAGATGGTGTAGCCCCCTGGCCGCCCCAGCAAGCCGCCGGCCACTTGTCCTCGGTCTCCCAGCCGCGTCCCCGCCCCTGGAGGACGGACCCCCCTGAATTCGGCGCCTCCCGCGTCTCCCGGCTGCTGGGGAAGCCTCGGCGCCGCCGGCACCATGAGGTGAGGGGCGCGCGGGGCGCGCAGGGTGGGGGCCGGGTGGGCCATTGTGCCGCGGGAGCCGCGACCCCGCTCTCCTCGGACCCCGCCTTCCCTTCCCGGCGCGGCTCTCGGGTCTCCGGGCTCCCCTCCCGCTCCCCCTTTTGTCCCTTCTCATTTCTCTTTCTTTCTCGTGACCCTCCCCAACCCCTTCATATTGGGGGGGGAGGGTCTCTTTTCCACGGTCTCCCATTTTTCCCTCAAACGCTCGTCTTTCGTCCAGGATTTCCCTTCCCGAGTTCAGTTTGCTGCCGGCTGCCCCCCACCCCCAGCCTTGGCCAGCCGAACCGGGGAGATGGGGAGGGGTTTGAGAAGCGCGGCGTGCGTGTTGCTCGGGAACAGGTATTTCCCCGTGGGTCGGTAAAAACCCCGTGCACTTCTAGGACACGACTCTCGTGTTTAAGGGAAAAAGGAAGAAAAGTTTGAGAGATCTGAAATCTCTGCGGGTATAAAGTGCTCGGCTAGGGGTAGGGGAAGGAGCTCCGAAGGGGGAATTTTCCCAGAGGGGAGGAACGGGAAAGGATTTATTGGGGTTACAAGGGGAGGGCAGTGAAAGCCTGAGATAAGTTAGTTGTTTGGGGTGTGTAAACGGGGGCGGGGAGCGATTTGTTCGCAAAACCCCTTTCTCTCCCTCCTCCTGGAGCAGTCTGTGTTGCATTGCAGCAGCTTCTTCCTCCCTTGCCTCTGGAATCAATAAAACAAGCTAAGTTGTTTCAGCCCCCAAGACAAGGATTGAACGTACCCCCGTAATCTAGTTTTTTAATTGCCACGGTGAAACAGACGGCGTGACATTTTTGTTTGTTGGTTTCTCCAAGTGAGGGAATTAAACCATGGTGTGTCATTCATCGGAGGTTTTTTCCAGCCTTTCCTTAGCCTGTTGTGAGTCCATAACCTCCTCTTTTCGGATTGGTGCAAGACTTCGTGAGAAATGGGACTTGGTAGACTGAAGGCTGATCCATTCTGCGTTATCATCCTTACAGGCCTGCCTTTTAGGTTAAGCAATTGTGGATAAAGTGAATTACTCCATTTCTGTGTCCTGGAAAAGATAGTCTTACAGTTCATTTGGATTTGAATCTCCTTTGTGTTAAAGATTAATGGCTAGCCGTTGCCAAGACCTTTATAATGTAATACAATGAGATTTGAATGATATAATCTGCAAATTCCTTCGCTTTGGCTAGAAAATGTCATGTCATTGGAATTCTTCCTCAATTTCTGTAGTTTTCCCTTTAAACTTCAGTTCTCTGGTTTCTTTTTCTATCACAGTTGAACACTTTCCCGTGAAAAAAATTTTTTTTGTGATGTAGCCGTATACTTCACAAAAGTATATTTGAATTAATATACTGTGAATTTGAATTAATGTTTTTCTCTGGTCCCAAATTAGAGGTCTTTATTGTAGTGGCCTTAAAAATTGTGTTAAATGCTGTGTCTCTAAGTGAAGTGAGCCCTTTCTTTTTTGTGATTTTTTTCACATGAGTTGTTTTCAAATGTAATGAAAAGGTTTAAAATGTGAACAAACCAAAAAAACCATAATCTTTGTAGACTATGGCTTGAAAAACTGGAGCCATGGATTTAAGCATGTTTTTGTTTTTTTTTAAATCAAATTACTAATGCCATTGAAAACTCAGAAACTCTAATAAAACATATGTAATGTAATATCTTGTAATACCATATATTGCAGATACCTCCTTTAAAGATTTAATGCTACAGGGCCTTGCAGACCAGAAACCATCAGTATTTTTCCAAACTCTGGGTTAACTTCTCTCAACACTGAGCAATGGAAAACAGTGAAACTGGAATATTTTCAGATAAAATGATTGTCGAGGGTGCTGATTCAGAGGTTGTGAACTAAAAGTTCAAGTTTTGGGCACGCAGTGAAGTACGGTCTCTATCATGTATCATTGTCAATCTGTCACAGATGAATTATGTCTTCTCTTCAAAGTGCCTTTTCTAATGAAAAGTCACTTGTACTTTTTAAGCTCTTTTTCTCCCTTTTTCCTCATTAAATGTAGAGAGAGAGGAAGCACAGGGATGCTTTCCTGTAGCATAAATATAGACCATGACACACAGGCTAGAAAAGTCTGTTGAAGCGGCCTGCGGTAATTCTTTGTAGGCTAATTTTGAATAATTTAAGAGCAGAAAAGAGGATCAGCTTTTTGTGTTGGAAGGCACTGGATTATTTGGTCGGTGGCTGGTGCAACTTGTGTGAACGCGTTTCCTTAGGTATCTGTAAAAGTAGGATGGTCTGATTTGGGGTAAAAGGTTCTCCCGCTCCTTGCAGAAAGCTTGGGGATGTTTTGGTGCTTACGATGGGGCTTTTCAGGTTATAGTGGTATTGGCTTAGTCTCGACGGTGTTTTCATGTTCTGTAGGACATCAGTGTCATGCCATGGAAGCAAGTCTACTTTAAAGAGCTATATTAAGGAGTAGTTCTGGAGTTTTGAAGGCTGTCCAGAAATAGGCATGCCTGGGTAGGAATTTCGGCTTGAGTTGGTCAGAATTCTGAAGAGAGGATATGATGACTACGTTGCTGTTTCAGTATTTGGGATAAGATCTCTGAGATGACTTTAATTTTAGGGGTAGCGTGCCTGCTGTAGTGTAATGTAATAATCCCTGTACAGAAGGGAACAGTAGTGCTTTACATTCCTGAAACAATCTTAAAGGCATTCTACCTACATTAAAAGCAGTGGATAAAATGACTTCTTAATACTTTGCTTAAAGGTGAGAATTTAAAAAATGAAAAAGTGAGATTCATATACAACCTAATGAAAGGGTTGAGACCCTCCAAACTGGTACTTTTAGTGTGACAATTAACTTTTGGGGGTTCTGTTCTTGTTTTTCATTTATTTAATGTTTCAAAAGCTTTGTGATTGTGGTAGGTATACATATATATTATTATACTGTATGCCTTTAATTTATTTTATTTTATTTTTTTTCCAATCAAACTTTATTTACCCAGACCTACTGTATGCCTTTTAAATTACTGGATTTTCTTTTTCTCTTTTTTTTTTGTACTTTTTATAACTAAGTGGTTAGTTACTTTTTTGTTTGCTTGCTTGTTTGCTTAAAGAAAAGAAACAAAGAGGAACTTGTGTGATCTAAAATAGTTGCGTGTAGCCTAGCGGCTAAGCAGAACTCAGAAGATTTTGTATTGACATTCATGGGTACATATTAAATAATCTGGGAGGCCACCCACTGCTTGGTGACCTTCTATGAGAAGGTCGGGGCTGTGAGGTTTTGTCCAAGCCACTTACCAGCTGGATGACCTGGAGCTATTTGCTTTATTTCACTGATTCATGGTTTAAAATATGTAAAAAAGGGGGCTAATTCTTTAATGGCGAGTCAGAGTCAAATGGTAATAGAAGGGAAGGTGTTTTGCATACTTGTCAGCGTAATACAGTTATGTTACACCTCTTGTTTTGAGGCTTAATTATATAAACCTTTTGGGCAGGGTAGTTTGCTTCACCTATCTGGGCCTTATCTAGTTCAAGGGTGGCATGCAGGTTACGTTTTGCTTACTCACTGGGGTTGGTCCTTCCTGCCACGTTGACACGTAGATGCGTTTCTGGGCTCCGTGGCAAGGCGGCATGATGAGCAGTGTTTGACCGGGACACGGGTCCCAGAGGGTCGCCCCAGAGAGGGTTTCTTGGAATGCAATTATCTGTGACCTCGTCCAGCCTTCCGAATTTTTAAGGTGAGGAAATGGATCGTTTCCGTTTCCTGTCTCAGGTATTTTTAGAGTCTTTGAAATACTCCCTGTGATTTTGTTACCTTCGTTTATGGTAGCGGTAAATGTCATGGCCATTTTAGAGTGCGGCACAGGCAAGGCTCAGGACATGTAGGTTTTCTGTGCTGACTCGTTAATGGAGCAAACGGGTAGAAGTGGAGTTAATCCTCCTGTTTTACAGAATAGTGTGTCAAGTGAGGCAGCCATGAAAGGGGACAAATAGCAGTGTCCCGTGGGTCTTCATTTATACCTGTGGCTGTTGGGTGTGTGATTTTCCCACAGAGGTTTATTTTAGGTGCAGGAGCCAGATCTGTATTTTTTTAAATACTGTCATTGCCTTGCATGGAGGCATTGTGTTGTGGGTACTTATTATTAAGTGAATAAATCTTGAATGAGTGTGAATTAGTGGAGAAAATTTATCAAAGTTATGCATTCTTCAGGACTTAGGATACCTTGTTATCCTATTTTGGAATGAGCAGAGTAGTTAGGGCCGATGTGGCGGGCGCAGAAGAAATTACATATTGGCTGACGGTTTTGGTTACTCACCCTACACACAGCTTAAATCGGTGGCCCGATTGTATGTGTAACTTGTAAAACACCCAGTGTTTGTCATGAGTGAAAGAAGGATTTGGAAAAATGTGACTTCAGTTTTTATGTGGTTGAGGGGAGAAAAAGAATACTTGAACTCTTCCTATACCAACTTAAAGTTGCCCCTGTGGCGCCCCCCCATGTCCCCTTTCCTGTCTCTGAAATTGACAGGTAGAATGGAGTGGAGTCCAAGTTTAAAAGAGAATCTGAGCTGGGACTGTACCTCAGTGGGTGCTTCCCCTCAGAGGGCTTAAGGGAGTTTTCTGGACTAGAGCGTCCCTGTCAGGCCTGGGAGGTCACCCCTGGTTCGCGTGCCTCCCAGCTCTTCTGAGTGTTCTGTGCCCTTCTGCATAGTTTCTGCTGTAGCGTTTATTGTATTGTTTTACACGTAACTTGGATCTGTCTGTCTCTCTTTACTGTAGGCTCTTTGAGGCCTGGGACTGCGTTCTTATAGTCATAGTACCAGTGAAATATTTGGCAACTATTGGGTGCTCGTGTAAATTTTTGACTTTGACCAAAAGTGTTCTTTTCCAGAATGTTCACTAATGATAACCACCATATTTTGGGAGCACCTGTGATGTTCAAGAAACTTTATTGTGTACTTAGGGGTGCAAGATATAGTATTGGGCATGTAGTAAATGTTAATGAAGTTACTTAATTCAAACAAACAAAAGCCGCATCCCGGCCCCAGGAACAGGTGTGGAGTTTGTTTCTTACTCAAACACGAGGCTCAGGAGTGGTCCAGAAGAGTCCCGTTCAGCTTTGCTGAACTCCAGAGCCCTTTGGAGGGCGCCATGTTTCCATGACTGTCTCTCAACCCTGAATTCATAGAAGGGCCATCATTCTGTTTTTCAGCCTTTTTGGTCATGGAACTTACAGATGTTTGTGAGCAGTAAGTTTATGCCCGTCTGTTTAGCTTATTTGTTTAGCTTATTTCTACTCCGTGTAATGCCTGCTTTGTTTTGAAATACCAATACTCCCCCCCCCCCCTATTTTTTTGCAGTTAGAAATAAAGCTGCTACGAATGTTAACTTGGATAGTTCGTGATACTCATGAAGGAAGCCGTGTTAGTCATCCTGGGGTGCCATAACAAAATACCACCGGCCGAGTGGCTTAGACCACAGAAACTGATTTTGTCAAAGGTCTGGAGGCTGGAAGTCTGAGATCACCGTGCCAGATGGTTGGGTTCAGGTAGGGCTCTCTCCACTGGCTTGCAGACTGTTTCCCTGGCTTCCTCCTGGTTGTATCCTGTAATGGGGGTGGGGGGGGGAGAAGGAAAGAAGGAGAAATAGAGAAACAGAGATCTCTCTCCCTCTTCTTATAAGATCAACAGTCCTATCAGATCAGTACCCCACCCTTATGACCTCATTTAACCTTAATTACCTCCGGGAAGCCCTGTCTCCACCAGAAGTCACCTGGGGGCATAGGGCTTCAGCCTATGAATGGGGTGGGAGGGTCCCTTGCAGAAGATATGCAGACTCTTTTTTTGCCAGTGTACACAGCTTTGATGAAAGAAGCGAATCTGTATAATGCTTAGATGATTTGTAGATAAAGGAAGGGGTAGATTTACACAAGATTTTCTAGCTTGCATTTGCTAGAAGTTTCTGAACATGGGGAAGCTTCTGTTTTAGAATGATTCCAATAAATACAATGAGCACATCACTTGTACAAAGAATGTTCTTGGTGTGAAGGAGTGTGTGCATGTTCAGGGTACAGGTTGCACGGTGGAGGGTAACCAGAACAAGCTTCGAAGTCCCCCTGAGTTGGAGCCCTGTTTTGACATTTTCTAGCTGATTTCTGAGTAGCTTATAGTTTTTGAGATTTTGAGTTCCTTCTTTAAAATGCTTATAATTTTTGCATTACGGAGTTGGGAAAATTAAATCAGAAATAATATCAAACCCTGGCATAACACTTGGCCCATAAAATAGGCTTGATAAGAGGAAATCCCCTCCGTCTACGAAAGTCTGACGTCTCTCTGAGTTTCCGTCAAGACTCTAAAGGACCATGGAAAATGGTACGGCTGCTGTAGAAGCAGTCTGGTCGTTCCTCAGAAACTTAAACACAGAGTCACCGTCTGACCATCAGTCCCGCTCCCAGGCATGGCCCCGGGAGAGATGAAAACATGTGCACACATACATTTCTTCACAGATGTTTATCACAGCATTATTTATAATAGCCAAAAAGTGGACGCAACCCAAACGTCCATCAACTGACCAGTAGAGAATCAAACTGTGTTCTGTCTCTACAGCGGACTAATATTTGAGCATCAAAAGAAATAAAGTGCTATATCCATGGTACTGCATGTATGGAAACATGCTAAGTGGAGGAAGTCGGGCACCAAATGCCACGCACTGTATGATTCCATTGGTAGGCAGTGTCCAGAGTGGGCAAATCAGACAGAAAGTGGGTTAGTGGTTGCTAGCGTCTGGGCAGGGGGCAGAGGAATGGGACGTGACTGTCATTATGGATGTGTATGGGGTGATGAAATGTCCTGGAATTCAACCCTGGTGATGGTTGCACACCTTGTGACCACACAAAATCCCACTAAATTTAATCCTTTAAAATGGTGACTTCTAAGGTCTGAATTATCTCAACTCCCACGCCCTATCCTTGGATTATTCTTTTCACTTACTAACTAGAATGTATGATACCCGAAGAGGGTCTCATCTCAGGCTTTGCGTTGTTTCTGACCTTTTCTTACTTTGGATTAATGTTTAAAATGGACATCTTCATGTTTTCTAAAGAGAGAGGCTGCAGACAGCACCCCCGGGCTTTCCCGTGGGGGGAACCTGGCAGAGGCGGGTGCCGAGGTAGACACTGGGAACACATTTCGGAGAGCGGTGTGGCCGTCCTCGGGCTGGGAGCCCTGTTGAGTAAGGATGACCGAAGCCACCGATAAAAGCAGTAGAGCAGGTGCAGCCGAATCTTCAGAAAACTTTGGTCTGGGTGGGAGATTGGGCGATCTCAAATACCAAGAAGATTTTGTCTTTGGGGAATGAAGTAGCCTTGATGACATTTTTAAATGGACCGAGCGACTGCCCCAGCAGGAAGGGCCTTCCAGAACACTGGGTCTTGGCAGAGAGCACGTCTGCTGAGATGGAGTCAGGACGGCTGCCTTTGTGCCTCCCGGGCCCTCAGTCTCCTTTTTTTGGTGTCTGCGTTTTCTGTGTCAACTTGGTAGGGAAGCGGCTTCCTAGAGAAAGTCAGGACATAAGTGAAATCAAGTGAATGGCTCTTCAGGTCAAATCTCCACAGAGTCCCAGCTGCTTCTGTTATGGTGCAGTGCAGGGAATCTTTCTGTGCAGGTTTTCTAAAGATTCATTAAATACTGGTTATATTTAGAGTTGACTTTGTTCTGCAGACTTGGTGCCCCTTCCTCGATCCCAAATTCTCATCAAATCATAGGCAAGGTTCAATTTTCAACAATTTAAGATTTATGAATTACAGGCCTTCATTTAACACTTAGTCATTTTTACTTCTTTGTAGTCTCTTTAATCGTTTTATTTGCAGTATTTTAAGACAATGAACCAATGATTATTGTCTAAATAAATGTCAGATCTCTTTTCTTATTTTTCTATTTTTTTTCTCTTCCATTATAAAGCAGGACAGTTTTTGCATAGACTTTAGAAAGTATGAACAGTATAAAGATGCTAAACCAGAATTAAAAAAAATATTTTATTTATTTTTAGAGAGAGAGGAAGGGAAGGAGAAAGAGTGGGAGAGAAACATCAATGTGTGGTTGCCTTTCATATCCCCTACTGGGGATATGGCCCACAACCCGGGCATGTGCCCTAACTGGGAATTGAACTGGTGACCCTTTGTTTCACAGGCTCGTGCTCAATCCACCGAGCTACGCCAGCCAGGGCCTAAACCAGAATTTTTTATATTTTGATGGGTAGCTTTCTGGATTTTTAATAATGCATATATGTAGCCATACATGTGCTTGTATGTGGGTATGAGCATATTTTAAATGAAAGTGAGATCGTACTATGTAAAGATGAAATTATACTATATTATTTTGTAACTGGCTCTTTTCCTCCTAGTTCTTGTCTCTAAATACAGATCTGTGTAATTTTAAGTAACCAGTATTTCCACTATGCTTCAGTTAACCTTAATCTGCTTAATCTCGGAGCAGTACTTAGCTTTTTAAACACTATTTTTGTTATAGAATCACTGCTGTGAACTTCTTTGGATCTATGTCTTTGTGCAGATATCTGCTGTTTTATATCTGCACGTAGACTAATACGTCAGGATCAATTTTCAGAAGGAGCACCAACTAGCATTTGTGCTTTCCTTTCTCTTCCTCCATCAGGGTCTGTTGGGTCGGCCCTGTTTGCCTCTCTCGCCCCCCTGCTGTTGCTCACGGGCAGGCCAGTCCAACCCTGAGCTGTCCGGGTCTCCCAGTTCCCGTCCTGTCCTCTGTTTTTCATGCACTAGTCGGTTCCGGAGATCTTAACCCAGACATCAGATATTGTAACTCCCTTGCTAAAGCCTTCAATGGCATCTCAGTGCTCTTAGAATGAAGCCCAAATTAATAAAACCAAATCTGGCTGTATTCCTGGTGGTGAGCTCAGGCCTCTGTGAGTTCACAGTAAGTATTTGAGCGACTAATAAATGAAATGACCAGACCAAAGGGAATTTTACAGTTTTTGATAACTCCTTACCAAATGAGCAACAGTAGATGGGCGTGCCAGTGTCCTGGCATTCTGCCCAGCTCCGGGTGTTATCAGACTTTTTAATCTTTGCCAATCTGATAGGCAAAAGGTGTTACCTCATGGATTTAATTTGTATTTCTTTGATTACTGGTAGAGTGGAACATTTCTTCATGTGTTCATTGGCCATCTCTGTTGTTGTGAGTCATCTGCTTATGTGCTTTGTCTATTTCCCAGTGGAAAATAGTTTAGTTTTTCTTGTAATGATTCATAATACATTTAATAAATAAGTGCAGCTGTATTGCCTCAGTTATCTGTCGTGGTGTAACAAACCACTCAAAACCTGGTAAAACACAGATGGGCTCTTTGGGACAGTTCTGTTGGCTTCACCTGTGCTCATCCATGCCTTGTTCCTCGGTTGGGTGCATGTGGTGTGTGTCTCTGCCTGTCTCTTACTTAGTAATAGCAGCCTACTATGAGGTCACACCTCACTGCCCAAGGTCATACCAAGCCTCAGTCTGCGGCTGGCCCTTTAGGTCTTTCTGGCCAAAGCTAGTCACGTGACCTGTGTGGGCGGAGACTACACTGGGTTGTATCCCCAGGTGCGGTTCGTTGGGGGGCACAACATAAAATCTCACGCTATCTTCCAAATTCGTCACTGTTTATTTTGTTTGTTTTGGAATCGAAGTTTTAAAATTTCCCGTCGGATCTGTCGGTCTTTATCTGTACAGCTCTGCCTTTGGGGTCTTGCTTTCTCCGACGTAAAATTATGTATGTATTCACTTGCATTTTCTTCTGTTAGGTTTTATGGTTTCATTTATGTTTAAATTTAAGCCACTTGAAATTTATTTTGGTGTAAGATGGGAGGTTACTATTTAAGTACCAGTCGCTTGTCAGCATCATTTGTTTGGTAATCCGCGCTTTCCTTCCCATTGATGCGGAATGCAGCCCAATCCCTGCACTGGGTTCCAGTGCTGGACTCATTAGTTATCTCATTCTCTGCTAATACCTCACTCTTTTCATTATTCTAAGTATAATTTTTTTTAACATCTCCTAAGGGATATTACTGTTGGTTTTCTTATCTTTCAAAACTTTGTTTTTTTTCATTTAATATGTTCTTTTAGGTAAGTCGTAGAGTCATTTCTATCAGTAGAACAAGTAAAGATGAAATGGAAAGGAAATGATACCCCAGCCTGTTGCCGTTTGAACTAGAATTGTGTTAAACTAGTGCATTAATACGGGTGGAGAAGGAACGGACCCTGTTGTAAAAGCAGGTTTTCCATTCTTTTTTCTCTCTGTGTGTTCAGATATTTTAATTCATCTTTAGTAAAGTGCAGCAACACATTAGTTTCTAGTTTAATAAGTTTGATATGGTCCTTCCAAAAAAGTCCTTATATCTTTAAAAATTAAACTTTTAACATTTTTACTATAAATCCATCTGTTCTCACTTTTTTTTGCTGTTAATTTCACTTAAAATGCATGCGCTTGTGTTTTAAAAAGCTTTTCTTTTGTTAATGAAGTAAATTTCAGTGCTGGCAT